CGGGCTTCGCCCGTGCGGTTGCTGGCGGCGGCGGGGCGTCCCTGCGTGCTCCCCTGCCCGGATCTGCGCTCCATCTCCTCCCGACGGCGACCCTTCCTCTCCAGCATCCTCTCCTGGCGCGGTGCTCGGCCCCGGAGCTGGCCTCTGCGGCGTCGGCCATGGCGGCTGCCGTCCCGGCCGTGCTTCGGGGTGGCTTGAGATCCAGCCGCCCGTCTGGCCGCCATGGTGGCCTCCCTTCCAGATCCGCGCTGGTGGCGGCCTGTGGTCCTTCTCTTGACCGGCGGGGGGACGACTAGGGGATGTGGCCCCTCTGCTCGGCCTGGGCGTGCTGCCCCTGCTCCGGTTCTTGGGGTTGCCCTCCGGCTGGATCTGGGGTTTTTGAGCGCCGCAGGCCCCCTTCCCCGGTGGATGTGGTGGTGGTTTGGTCCGCCGTTCTGGCGTGGTGCCGGGGCTGCTCCCTGTGTTGGTGGAGATGCTCGTGGTGGGTGGATGCCGGGGCGGCGGCCCCGGGCTGTGAGGGCGGCGCCGGCTCTAGGGCGAGCGGCGGCCGCGAGGGCTGTACCGCAACCTCGGTCGTGCGGGCGACGAGGTTGTGGCGAGCGTGCTCTGTCTGGTGAAGATCGACTCCCTCCGCTCGCAGATGCACCCACTGGCCTGATCCGGCCATGGCGGCTTTGTCGCGTCGGCTCGTGCTCTCGGGTTCGGGTGGTTGGGAGTGGAGTGTGGGACCGGGGGAAACCCTTGGCCTTTGGTGGCTACGGCGAGGCCGTCTCCATTTTCTTGGAGTCGGTCCCCTTCTTGGAGGCCTCGTCGAGATCCCCATCTGCTTCCTTCTTCCACGCTCCTGCATGGGGCGAAAGTCCTAGATCCCCTTGTGGGCGGCGGCGACGTGTCGTCGTCGTTCCCTTCTTGGAGGCGTCGTCTGGGGTTCGTGAAAGTGTGGATGGTGCTTTTCTGCTTGGTGAGGGCAGTGTGGCGGCGAGATGTTCCTTGTTCTTTGTCTTCTCCGTGCGGTCTTCATCTTGTGTAGGCGCTCTTCAGCTTGCGTCTGGTTGGGTGGCTGCCCAGGTGGTGGTGAGGTCGTGGGATCCTAGCAGAGGTGCTGCTCTGCTCCCTCATGCCCGAGCTGCCAGGTGGCATTGTCCATTCGGCTCTAGGGTGAGCACTCTACCTTCCGACGGTTCGGCGCCCTTCGAGCCAGGGCGAGAGGATTGTTGTCTTCTTCGGAGGTAGAAGCGAGTGGCTTGTCGTCCTTGGCATGTTCTGCGGGACTAGGCGAGTAGATGTTGGTTGTCGATGCTGGTTTTCCTGCCCTCACCCTGCTGCTGGTGTGGCTTCGCTCATGGCGTCTGACCTTGGTGATCTTGGCTAGGCTCCTATTACTATCTCTTGTTTGCCTGTATCACAAATTGGTCGTTAGCTGCTACAGCTCTTTGTATCTTTGCCGTTTCAGTTTCTATCATGTTGTACGCTTTCTTGTAATCCTGGCCGGTTGATGGCTTTGTTAATTCAAAGCCGGGTTAGGTTCGAGCCTTTTCTCGGGCTCGGCCGACACCTTTTCTCTAAAAAAAAAACCAGATCAACGGCTGAAATCAAATGTTCTGCCGACAGACGCCGTGATGGTCTGCCAGCGTTCGCGTTGTGTGATCCCTATGGGCCGCCCGCAACGCCCTGATTTGTGGATCGATTCCGCCGGAATCGGTGCCTCTCCGCCATTCCAAAACAAATTATGTGCCTCCCCGACCCTACTTCCGCTGGGCGCAACAACCATGGCGGCGGATCCGTGGCGTTCGCGGCCGCTTCACCTCAGGTTCCGCGGTGATTCCACCCGATCAGTGCCTTCCCTACCCTTCTTTCACTAGGATGAGCGCAGCAACCATGGCGGCGGATCCGCAGTGTCCGCGGTCGCTCCACCTCGGGCAGCGCGGATCAAGGCCAGCGGCCCGATGTAGGTACAGGCGCGGTCTGCTGCTCTGCCCCGCGCTCCCTCCATGTATCCCATGCGCATCCGGTGGCCAGGCGCTTCTTCCACTCCGACCTAGGTAAGCCCCTTTGCTCTGCTCTCTGTCATGCGCGCGCCAGTGTGCGACGGTTATCGTGCCGCGGTTAATCATATTCTGGCCATGTCAAGTTCTAGGGTTCTTGTCTCTGCATACAATTCCATTTTGCAGGGGTGGTTCCTTGTTGTTCTAGGCTGATTCAGATTTTTTTTTTTCCGATTCACCACTTGGACATGATCCAGAAATGCACGGTTGTTCGAGGTCATGTTGTTTGGATGGACTGCACAGACATGCTATTGATTTAGTATTGTATTCATGCGAGTGAAAATCATAAGCAGACTCCACTCCTCTGTGGACGTTCAGGTTGCAGGTTGAAGCTTTATCAGGGCCTTGATTATTGTTTATTATAGAATTGTCCAACACAGCGCCTCGTGCTAGCCGGCCTGGTTGATGATGCCTATCTCCCTTATATTCAGAAACGGAATAGCTTATCCCTTATATTCAGAAATGGAATAACTTAGGCGTGTGAGTGTCGTCCGCGACGAAACAGGTTAATGGCATTTTGTCTTCAAATTAGATGTTGTACGTCCCTGCAATATGTGTGTCAAATGCCCCAAGTTGGATTTGTGATCTCACTTTCCCACTGCACGGTCGTTTATACTCTGCACATTGAAGCTCTCTGAATTAACAAAACTTGTTAATACCCCCCTCTAACTGTTATATCTTAAGCTGCTTCTGCATAACCATTTGTGTGTCTACAGTTGTTATATCCTACGCTACTCTGACAATTTTTACCCCAAATAATGTGCTTTGTGTGTATACCTGTACCTTATTTTGTACCGTCGACATTTCTAAATTATTTTGCAGTGGCTCACGAAGCAGCAGCTTCACACCGCCACACCTCCCTAGGCTTGATTTCTTCCATTGCATGAAGTGCAATTGCTGCCTTGGAATGAGACTACCAGAACACAAATGTCAGGAGAAGGGGCTAGAGGCAAACTGTCCAATTTGCGGTGACTTCCTATTCACATCAAGTTGCTCTTCCTTGTGGTCACTTCATGCATTCAGTTTGCTAGGTGTTAGCAAGTAAAATAATAATTTTCTTTTTCTGATAATGTATATCTGGCTACTGGCTGTCAAAGATGGTTCTGACAATTGTCAACCCCAGGCATACACTTGCAGTCACTACACTTGTCCTATCTCCATCTTGAGTCCCATGACTTGTTTTCATATCATAGTGAGAACTATTACTCATTCTATTTTGCTCTTCATCTACAGGGCATTCCACTAGCTCATAAGTGATTTTTCATAAAGCATGAAACAGACACATTTCTCATTACTTTGATACTGAAAGCCTATACCTCAATTCTAGAGTACTCAAAAACAAATGATTTATCTGTGCAGTTATATTGTATGATTATTCTCCACGGACAATACAGCTCTGATTCCTGACACTCGAGGGTGACTTTACTTGTGGTCTTGTTATTTAAACTCTCCTAAGATGCAAAGTGAAAACTGCTTTAGTATTTGGGGAGTACACAGTCGGATATTTGGCTCGAGTCATGTTGATTGACTGAGTGTAATAGACAAACTTCAGAGGTATTGGTATCTGGAAAAAGAAGAGGAAGCATTGTAAATCGTTGTTATTATATGAGATGCCAATCGAGAGGTGCCAGTTTCATTTTGACTTGTTTGAGATCTAGCTTCCGATCAGTTTGCTCCTGTGAAACTATTTTGTCCAATGCTTTAATGTTACCATGGTAGTCTCAGAATAGTATGGACATCCTGATGTTCTTCTGTGGTTAGTTGTTCCTTGAAGTGTGGGCTACATGCTGTAGAGGTAACAAAACTATTGGCGTAGCTTACAATATCCACAATATAAGGATTTTTACTTGTGAGCTGATTGTCTAAATTTTGTAAGCACGTACACGATTCTTACTGAACTACTATAATATTTATTTCTCCATTTCTGTATTCTGTATGTACAGGTGTACTTTGGCATGCTTGATGCATTCTTGGCTGCTGAAGAGCTTCCAAAGGAATACCACGATAGGTGTCAGGTATTCATGTTCTGTTCTTGGTTTCATTATTTTCATCCGCTGTAATATTTATATTCTGTTGCATTATTCATACATGATATTCTTTGTAATGATCGCGAAAGAAAAGGTACATCTCAATTTCATTGGTAAAATCTGGTAATGTAAATCCCCCTCTGCCTCCTCAGTTCAGAGTCATCGTTCTATATTAGTGGATATGAAAAACAATTCTAACTATCCTTGCTGGAAATTGGTTGGTGGTGTCCAATGCAGACTAAAAAATTTGAGTTGATTTTGCTTTCCATAATATGTTCATCTCAGCCACACGGTAGAGAGAGATCACTAGATAACAAATCTTTCAGTAAAAAGTAAATTACAGCCATTGCTGATCCATAGGTTTGCAAGTCTCTTGGATCGAGACTTGACAAACACGTACTCCCTCCGTTCAAAATAGAT